ACCCCTGGGTAGAGTGCTATGGCATCACAGTTCACAGCAACCTCTAACTCCTGGGCTCAAGCGAGTCTCCTGCCTCTGCCTCCCAAGTAGCTGGGCCCACAGGTGCCTGCCACAATGCCTGGCTATTTTTTTTGGTTGCAGCCATTATTGTTGTTTGGTGGGCCTGGGCTGGATTCGAACCTGCCACCTTAGGTGTATGTGGCTGGCGTCTTAGCCACTTGAGTCACAGGCACCGAGCCTGGGCTTGGAAGTCTTATCGCTCTTACTGTCTGTCTGAATTACCCTATGTTAGACTAAAATGAAGAACTGTGTAATACTCAACACTGACTCCCAGAGACCATAAGAAGTTTCAGGAAAGTTCGGGAAGGCAAGAGTTACTCCTGGGCTTCTGGCTGATTGCCCAAGTTTGCATGCTGCTGACTTGGGTGCCCTTGGCTGCTCCTGCGCTGGGGCTGCCTTCGTACACTGTTGGGCATTCTTGCTTCTCTGTGTAAGCCTCCATCCAGATTTTCATCTCAGTAACCCTAAACAGTCCATGGTGGCCTGTTTCTAGCAAGGGGAATTCAGGCCCCACTCCAATCAATTGAATCTATATCTGGGGGATGGGAACTATGGGCCAGTGCAGTGAGTATTTAACCTCCCAAGTGATTCTTTTTTTTTTTTTTTTTTTGAGACAGAGCCTCACACTGTCCCCCTGGGTAGAGTGCTGTGGCATCATAGCTCACAACTCCCAGGCTACCCTCCCCAGGGTAGGAGGGGTTCTTCCATGAAATCTTTATACCTCTCGGGGTGAATGTTTGGGCATGCAGGAAGTATAACTGCAAGCCTCTGTGCTGCGTCCTTGGTGTCTGATCAGATTACTCAGAACTCTTCAACTAAGTAGTAGTTTATTCCATATAATAAGTGAAAACTTCCATGACCTCACAGAAGGCAGTGTGGTTGGAGAAGCCTGAGAGTTTGTGTGTGCCTCTGTGTGTGTCCAGTGAGAAAGGAGCCTTGGGATTTAGCATCGTGACCCACCTGAGGGTCGAGATGTTGTTTGTAAATATCCTAACTGGGCACTAGTTGGTTGGGAAGAAAATGTGTGCATGTTTTGTTTTATTTTGGTTTTCATCGATTCTCTTATCTATCTTCCCCTCTCTTCAGATAGATAGAAAACAGCTGTCAAGGGCAAACCAGTCAGATATTGACCATGTCTTCACTAATAAAGAGGGATTACTAAAAAGGAAAAGCTTACTTCAAAGGTGAATTCTTTTTTTTTTTTTTTTTTTT